TAGGAATTTATGATTTCACGTATTTAGACAACAGATCACCGCTTATTGTTGACACATAACAATCCAATGGTGTCATAAGTCACATTCTTTCGTTTTTTTGTTTATCAGTGGTTAATAGTCGAATCCAGAACCTTTGTCTTGTCTTATTCATAACTCATCAGCCGGATATTATAATATCTCACGGAGTGATAATGGTATTACTGAATGCTGGGTTCGAATCTCAGCTAGGAAAAACTGAGTTCAACATGTATCCTTGATTCTGATGTCAATCACCTGAAGTTCAGTCACGATTTTTATCTTTTGTCCCAAAAGAAATAAAGAAATGACTCCTTTTAAACTACAAAATGTGTACAGGTTTGGAACTTACCAAAAATGGTTACCATAGCAGGTTAGAAGAAGACCGTTCAGTGTCTTATATTCAAACTAAACAAGTTAGTCTATCAAAATAAAGCTGAATTGTGCAGCTTTTTTTATCAACCAATGAAAACATAGCCACTGATTGTCGTTGATGATATAACTGGTGAATCTCCGTTGTCGATTGGATCAAATCGATTGGCCACCTATTGACATATGGATACCTCAAATTTGATATCACTGATGGATAGTGGTTGATGAAGAAGCCTAGAACGCGCATTTCGTCCTGTTTGAACTTGTCAGCTGAATGTACATGCTTCTATCACTTCTATCAAGTTTAAAAATACTGCGCAACACTGGGGGATCCTTACACAATCCCATATTTCGCTGGTGGCCCATCAACAACGAAGATTCACCAGCTATACTCACTGCACAAAGGGTGGCTATTATGACTGAGTGACCTAGCGGATAATACTCTGACGTTTGAAGCAGTTGGCTCTAGAGTCGAGTCTGAATGGGGGGTAGGTACATCCAGCTGATGTATGAGTCCCAAATAGGACGAAATGTGCATCTTGGATTTGACTGATAACCGCTACTCATCATCAACTATAGCTATTTACTGTCTTAAATAAGAGCCTAATATTTCCCAATGAATGAATAAATAAAACACTCAGATAACTAATCATATTCCCACTAAATGAAATAACAAGCCGTAAATATTAACAATAAGTCCACAATTTGTAGGTTGTATGCAACTATACCAAAAAACTGTGACCATTATCCCATTAGGGAATGCATAATTACACAGATGTGTATACTGAGTTAAGATATATAAAGTGACTTCAGCATACCTCGGAATCACCAAGTGCAGCACTTAAGATCAGATCGTCACCCACTGAATAAAGACGAAGAATGATAAGGATAACAACGTCAACTCTCTGGAACACTGTCATCCAGATTTTGAACTCAAGGTCAAACGGTGAGACAGTGAAGTAGATTTATTACAACATAACACTTTTCACGACAGCAAAAGGCCGATATGAAAATATCTTATATCATAAAGTGAACAACTGTTTCGTCCTAATTTATGCTTCATCAAAGACACCCATCCTTGACGTCATAAAGGGTTGACTCTAAGACCTGCAGTTCTCCTTTTCATACTGCTAACAGATATGATGCGATACACTATAATGCTGCTTTCCACATCTATTAGTCTTGTTGTCACATACGTTCAGCTTAGATTCCTGGCACATTGATTACGAGTTCAGTGGTGAGGGATAAAAATTCTACTCATCATGGATATATGAGTTTATACTGACTGATGACTTAATGGTAACCAAATCCAAGTTGTCGAGTCCTAAGCGCCTGCTGATCGAGTTCTGTAGATCATTTTACAAATGCGTCTACTAAGCTAGGAGACTCACTATCGTGATCCAGTGGGATAGGTGTTGGCTGGATGGAAGTTTCACGCCCTTTGAAAGGAGGCTAGTCAAGAGCCGAATGGCTCAGCGGTAACATCTCCGACAGCAGCGGTAATTGACGCGGGTCTAAATCTCAGGCGGGATATCAGTGTCCCTGAGATTACAGATACGCTTTGTTGATGAGTGCCGGAAACCTCGAAACCCAGGTCAAGCAGGGCTACCAACCGAACTATAAATGGGTTGCAACAAGGTTGCTGATATGTCATTCTAGTGAGTGTTAACAAGCATAGAATTCAAATCAGATAGAATTTCCAACTGACTGAATCTTAAAAGCAAAATCTTGAGTTTTGTAAAAACCAGGACCGCGTTCGATTCAGTGATCTCCAGGCAAGTAGGTACAGTTACTAACCAACTGCTGACTATATACCAATATTTTTAGAAATATCAATTTTTTTCTAGATTATTTACTAAAAATACTAAAACGTTTTACTGCTAGTGACTATCATTTTTCCTATACATAGTGATACTACTCACCTTCTTGTTAGTAGTACGTTTGTCTATCACTAAAAATGAAATCGATTTTTTTGAGTGAAAGGAAGTGAGGGGGTGAAAGAGGTCATGAATCCTAAAGTTAGGTAATTTGATACATGGGATTAGATAAAACTTCTATGCGAAAGAATGGGGGTAGGGTTTCCTTAGGACTGCGCACAACATGTATATATATATTCGTCAGGGATAATGAGAGACGAACAGGTTTTACACTCAAATCTTCAACTGAAAACATACCATTTGCGAGTGTATACATTGAACATTGGAAGTAAATTGCTTTAAATGAATATACTGGTGAATGTTTCAATCTAGTTGGGTCGGTTGGATTTCAGGTAGTTTGTTTTGAGTAATATTAGCATAATGGTTCTCTTTCCTTTGATACCTTAAATACCGTGATTATCAATAAGAAAGAAATCTTGATGAAACAGGACTTCCTGCGGAATAGCTCCAAATATCTAACATCATAACACTGATTGTTAATCTGTGGAGCAGACGCTTTATGTTTCCAACTTCCAATGATCATTTCTCAGGCATACAGTTTACATTTGTTAAACTTGCTCCTTTTTTCCCTATATTTCTTGTGTCTTGTAGTCCATTGCAGTTGTAAACAAACCTTCCAGTCATTCATGAAGAGAAGGATGTATACAAAACAATTTATGCTGACGGAAAAAGTGGATGTCAAGATTACTAGAGTAAAATTTCTCTGTTCATAATGTTCATTAAATATGCATCATAATTACAACAGATTCACAACTTAGATGTAGAGACTTTTTGAGTCAGTCAATGCAAGATAACACTTTGTGCATGTATATTCCACAGTTAATATGATTATTCTGGAATCTATATCACGAGATTATATCAATATAACTATGCATACTGGCCCGTAAAATCTCTCATTTGAGTTGGAAAACGTCTTCACTCACTTCTTGATTTAAACTTTGGCTTGGTAGTTTATACTACTTTTTTGTTAAATAATATGCGCTAAATTTCTAAGCTTTTCTAGCTATACATATGCCGGTCGATTGTTTTGGTTATCATAGGGTTCCCATTGAAAACCACTCAGCTGAGATCATAAGCGAAAAGGCCGTCCCGTGTTTAGGTCACTCTGATCTCTATGATCAGATACTACTCTATAGCCTGAGTGATTTCTAACTACTCAAGTCGTCCAGTACTTGTGTCTTTCGCTAGTTCATGAAACTACAGGAAGCTTCACTAACAGCAGAGAATTAGAAAACGCTGATTCTAAATACTAACTATTCTCACATTTTCAATCGGGCTGTCGAATGACACTTTTGTTCATTAGTGCCACTACTTAACAATAATACCCACATGATATAAATTTACGATCAAATCCTTTTCAACCTATTGGGTTTGTATCAAAAGGATACTTCTGTACAAATACTTTTCAGTCACTATAGGTTGTAGTTAATTGGGGAACAACAAGAAACTCATCATCTAGTTTGTCTCATGGCTTTGATGTCATAGATTGTAAATCTCTGTTGCTGATTGAACTGAACTGACCGGACATTATTCCATGTGGTTTTCTGTGTGGTTACCTCTATATTGTCGGTAATTTCACTTTGGTTTCAGTGATGGATAATGGTTAGAAGTAGGATCCAAGAGGGGTGTCGCATCCTATTTGGAGTTTTTAGCTCACTTTACGTGGACTGTAGTTGGTGATGTTGTTTACAGTAAGACTGGATGGCAGGAATAACCATTTTCACTACGCCACTATGTAGTGATAGATACTCTTTGTCCGACTGCTAGTCTCTATTCATTAGTAGTACGTTTGAAGGTTTGTTTGTGAACTTCCTTTTAATTCCTTAATCCGAGTTTACTAACTTTTCTGAGTAAATGTTTAGATACATTCATTTGACATTTTTGCACAGTTACGCTAGAGTGTTTATGTAATGAGCTAACTGATAAAGTGGAAAATTTGATTTCAATATTTTACTTTATAAATTTTACCTACTTAAATTTTATAAAGTAGCTTGAAAATATGAAAGAAAATACTTGAACAGCAACTCGAAATATTATTTTGTGATATCGCCGTAAATGGATGCTGAACTTTTGACATGTCACAATAATATAAGTGCAAATTGTTTAACTGTTTATTTACATACTATTCGATAAACGCAGGCAACCAATTCCAAAAAAACTACAGACATACATCATACTGACACTGAAGATCAGATGACCAGAATAATAATAATAAGCAACAAGGAAGTCACTCTGGCCTGGCAACCAACCAACCAACCGGCAACCCATCACCCAACAAGTATGCAGTGATAAAAAGTGAAGATGGATTAAATTGGGCCTACACTGAGAAGACCATTTGGGGACATCATGCGTCAGGCGAGGTCAGGCATTCGAGTGGAAGCCAAATTGGAAACGACGAGTTGGGCATCCGAGGCAAGGTCGAAATTGAGGAGATCATGTGAGGAAGAAATGAAATTTTATGGATAGTTGTGGAGGCAGGTTGAGAAGATTGAAGAGAAGAGAGTGAAATGATGACATGCAACTGAAGTCGTTTCTTCCACTAGGAACCCAAGTGACAAATAAATAATAATCCAATAAAAACTGAATAATTGTTACATAACACAGGTATTGATAGTTGGATATTTTAAACAAAAGATCAATATGAAAAATGAATCAGTTGACCAACATTTATCATATAATACATCTCTAATTCCTTACTTACTATACCAAATGAGATGAGAAAATCAGTAAACCAGCATTTCTTCAACTCATATTGAAATGTATATATGGATCAGATAAAATCTAATCGGGACTTATCATATACAGAAAGTGGTTATGTAAAACAGGTGGTTGGTGAACCTTTACATCATGGTTTATGTTCCCTATTGTTATATCAACCATTCGATCCAATTGATTTTTTAGCCAATTATCTACGCTATTGGGTGAAGTATGTAAGAGACTATAGAAGAGTAAGTTTGTTAAATACTTTCATATATATTAAAATGTCAAACTTATATTGAACATCATATAGATGTAGAACATCGACACTATGGTAGAATGTAGAATGTCTATTTGATGTAGTCAGCATACAATGATACAGTATTATCTACATGATGATTACATCACTGCTAATTATCATATCCAATGTAATCACATACCTTTTATTTGATATTTTAAATACCATGAATACCAATTGAGCAAGAAATCTTGATCAAATAGGGATTCGTTGGCGAATAACTCGAAATATTTAACAACATAACACTAATTGCTAATCTATGGTTATCTTTATGTCTTTATAATTCATTGCTGAACTGAACAGGCAATAAACGAACTTGTCTATTGGAAACAAACATAAATGTACTGATGAATAATATTGGCTTAGAATATCCAAAAATGATGACTTTCAGCTTCATGAAATCATTGATAATTGTTCATGAAGAGTGTTTATGCATATGAAACTTATATTCAAGGTGTACTGTAGTCCATATAACATGCGTTTATTTGACATATACAGTACATAATGATATGGTATTATCTACATGATGACGACATCACGAACACAAACTATCACTGCTCATAATTATATCAATTTAGTCTCACCACCCAACTCATCTTCATTTTTTCTATTGTTATGGGTGTTGATTCGATGAATAAAGATTCAGTAATCAACCTTCTTGTCTGTCTCCATTAAATTACATATGACTTCAGTACAGTGGTTTTATCCCACCCAGCCTATTGTGTGATTGTGTGTTAATTCATGCATTGCAATAGTCGAGTGCTTTTCTAGATTATTGATCTTATTCGAATTTGTCATTCTCTATTCAGCTAAATTCCTACGTTCCACTGATCTAACTGACCCCACCGGCTAGTTTGACCTATTTACTTGATCTCACAGTCATTACATGGAATTTGATAGATTAGATTATCTTGATTAATTGGTTCTATCTGATCTTTAAGCCAGACGACGAAGCTTATCTCTGCTGAGTGAGTTTGTAGGTTTAAATGCCCCTGTCAACCTAATTCCAGATTTGTTCAGGATCCTACGTAAAGTTTTGATGTATCTTCCTTATAGGGTAACACAGTGGAGGATGTTAACTCCTTTCTAGTTGTTTTGTCGTTATTATTCGTAGTCGCGTAATGATTATTTATACTGCTTCTCATGTTTTCCTAAAAATTTCTCGGTAAACTGAGGAGGATAATTATTAACTATTAGTGCTTCTTTTATGTGTTACAGTTTCTTGTTTAGGTTTTTACATTGATTAGACAGTTTTCTACCTTAATAATTTCAACATTGAACATCAGTAGTCAGGTAGATTTTATAGGTGATCCTGATGAATTCTGATTTAAGCCATTAATTTATACTGATCATATAATGGGAAATTCTACAGTACATGTTGTAAATGTTTTTTGTAGTGTGTATGTGTTGTGAAATAATTTCATTTGATGTATTATACTTCATATGGATTAATAAGCCAATTATTGAAGTAAACAACTTTCTCACTAAACTGTGTATTACTTTTTGAATATCACTGAGTACATGAAGTAATTTGTGTATATCCAAAATGCAATACACATATCTTAGCTTTTCTGAACTTCTGTTTACTTCTCAATTATTATATTACTAGAATGGATCAATTTTTAAGTAATCCGTAGAAATTAATCTAATTTCCAATTGTTTATCTGATCAAAATTTACTTCTTATTGAGATATTTCAAATTGTCTTCATCTATAATACACTGGTTATCAGGGTGCCTAATGTATACAAAAAGGTTATGTAAGTTGATGAACTACCAGTTTTTTTTTACTTTTAGTGACCCAAATTTTTTAAACAGTCAGTATCAAGTGAAACAGTTTGTGCTATAAAATTGTTGATTGTGCTAAGTTTATGCACACCAAATTGGAGATTTTTTTCTGTCAATGAGTTTCTTATCAGTCTGACTATCTGAGATAGGCGTAGTTTGGTAGACTTTTATTGATACTGGTTGAAGATTGAAGGTGGAATGAAAATTTGGGCCAACTACTTCTGTGTTGCCTGTCCGATGCTCCACTAATTGAACTGCCAGATCCGGGTATTGATCAGATTTTCATTCCACCTATGATCATCAACCAGTATCAATTGTAATCTGAGAAACCACAGATATCTCAGATATTCAAGCCGATCATCAAGATGATACTCCTCTCACCTCTCTAATTCAGTGACATTTGGACATACATAAGAAGTCTTTCGGCTAGAAAAGGATGCAGAAGAATTTAATTTCTGGCGAACTGCATACACTTCATGATCACCCTGGAGGCTGGATTGGACTAAGCTAGTATCCCGTTGCAAGTTGACCAATCGTTGATATTTAGCACCGATATCACTCAACGTTAGGGTTGGTTCTTGCGTAGGATCTGACGAGTCAGCTGCAGGAATTCTGGAATGAGTTAATAATTCGATAATCTTCATTTGTAGTTCAACAAATTTGTCCAGTTTCGAAAAGTCCATTTTTGACCCAATCCCCGTCACCGCTGTTATGGTTTCGAACGCCAATATTTATATATTCTCAACGAGTATAATACGCACGCTTAGCTGACAGCCGACTTAGTACACAAGAGCCACTGACTGCGACCCGGGACGAATAGAGAGAAGACTGAAGCTGGATAACGGGAGAGTTTACTACTCCGAGAATATACCAATATATGATAATCAATCCCAAAAAAAGTGAATAAGTACACACACGAAAAATGACCTTGTCCTCAATTTGAGGCACGGGCGTAGTAAGAGTGAGATTAACCAATCAGCGATTTACATTACAATAGGGGCAGGAAATAGACCACTAGTCATGCCGTAAAAATGGTTTGGGAATGACACGTTAAAACGTCCAGTCAATAACAATGTTTTATACAAAACTGGGGCATCACAAGAATAGTCAATCAAAACTCCTGGTGATCGGTGTGAAACTGAGATGTGGTCATCCTATCTCAATTGGTACAGCGACCGGCAAATAACCTACAGGTCACTAGTGATAGTCCTTCCATGGCGTGAATTTCCATTTCACCTTCACTCATCATCCAATATAAACCTGATCCTTTTCATTTTCAATATTTCAACCAGCAAAAAGTGAATTGAGCTGTATAGAATCTTGTAAGACGGTGTAGTGGCTGAATTAGCTAGATGTTGAAAAGTTTGACAGTTGGATGCACTACTTACACATTTATAAGTTATGTCCATCTATAATGTCAAAAGAACTGATACCCTTGTACCGTAATGCATGTATGCAATGCATCACTGTGCAGCCAACGATTTGTCAGCAATAAAGTCTAAACAATACCATACAGATTAATGGCGACTGACAGATCACTGTATACATCTGTACACACAGACACACACACACAGAGACCTACAGGTTCTGTTAATCCAACATATTTTTGCACCATTGATTAAGACGCAGACACACAAAGAAGCATTTAACATAGTTGATTAGAGCAGGTGGAAAATATTCCAGATTTGTTACAGGGAAGGTCGGGGGTAATTTTTATAGATGTGTGGATAGGACTTTAAACGCCACCATACCAATGATCAGAATAACCAATTAGGTTCCTCCATTTGGTTGGAAAGTCAGATTTTCATAAGATAAAGAAGTCAAATTGCTTATTTCCGTTGTTGTTAGGGTTATCTTTAAAATCACCCTTAAAGTCAAGGCTGGCTTTAAAGGTCACCCTAGGATCTGTTCAGATAACCAATTATGCTTGTTTATATAATGAAAACTACTCTCCCAAAGGGGAATATCCTAACCTGATTGGTTATTTCACTTGTTGCTAAGGCGATCTTTAAAGTTACCCAAAGTCAACCTTGCTTGGATGCAGTTAGCGCCCAAATGTGCGTATACCTACAAATAAGGGATGACTTTAAACACCACCCTAGGAAAGATAGAAATAATTGATGAGACTTCTATATTTTATGAAAATCTGCCTTTACAGACAAAAGGTGGAAACCTAATTGATTCCTTTTAAAGTCAACCCTTTTCCTATGAAATGACTATTTTGTCTGTTGCCTAGGTAACACAGAACCAGGCTTTATTGAAAAGGAAATTTCAGTCGTCGAAAGGATGTAAACTAATTTAGGAATGAATGCGACTTAAGTTTTGTGTATTAAGTTTCACACTTGAGCAAAGCGTATATCTAGTGAACCTTCATATAAGTTATATGTGTATGTCAGTAGGAGTCAGTCAGTGGGTTTATTAGGACTGCACAACCATCTAATCATTTCAGATAATTCATTCACAACAAAATTAATATGATGAACAAGTACAATTCGACTGTATTTTAGACATTGATAAATTGTCAGTTTTCAAGGTATAATTCATGACAGAATTTATTGATTGCTGGTGTTGATATTGACTGTGACGCCGTGGGATTCTGTACTTCCTGTTTTACCAAAAGATCACATGTACTGTGTGCACACGGAAAGTGACTTTGTGCTACTCTTTCAGCAATACTACTACTACTACTGATAATAGTAGTAATAATAATAGTAATCACTTCATTCCAGACAATATGTTCCATTCGGTATAGAATTCTGAGACAGTAATATTTTAGCAGATTAATTCCGCCTACAATACCTTTTAACAGGCTAATTATGGCATCTAGTTGACAAAAGGCAATTCAACGAAGAAAATTTCCTTTTCGACGAATCATTTTCAAAAGCTGTACAATCGTCATCATAATAATACCGTATGGGTCAATAAGAAATCGGAGGACAAAGGCCGGCGTATGATTGCAAGGAAGACAACTTTATTTAGCAAAAAGACATCATTTATATACATCTTTTTCCTCAGAAAATAAAGCCACTAGGTCATAAGTTGAATCCTTATTTTCATTGGTCAGCTGAAGGACAAAATTGTCCAATAGAATTTTCCCGCCTACGCAGTCACATGAAATAATGTTGAAATATGAAACTCCCATCTTAGCAGCTGATGACTAGGATTATTGATTTTGATTTAGGCCACTTCCTATGACTTGTACAAGTACCTACCTACTCTGTATCTTATACTGCACATCTAGAGTTATTTCCCTTTTTTTATTTATTGATATTGAAGCGTAGTGATGCCCGAGAAATTTAACCTTTAAGAAATGAGATCACCTGGTAACTAACATAATAGCCATTTTCGTCTTGTATCTATTTCGCCTCAAAAATTAATTATAGAGAAAAATTGCTGAAATGCAAGTTGAACATCTATTAGAAGTACAATTACCTTGGGTTGTTAGTGTAATTGCTGAACAAGCAAAACGTCTTGAACAAGATTATTTAGATGTAAGTTCAACTTCTTTTTTAGATGGTTTATCTCCTATTTCGATTGATTTTCCTTGGTAACATTTTGAGGCTTTCGTTATAATTTATAAATCCTAGTTTTGTTTTACTAAAATAATTTAACCCATTGAAATAGGATGCCAGTTTTTAACCAGACACTGCTGTTCTTGAATTAAACTGCTTTCAATGTATTAGTATCTAGCTGATGAATCCGGAATAGATCGAGACTTGCATCTTGAATCAAACTGTAAAAAAAGCAGACATAGACACAACATTTCTTGGGGAGTATCAAGAGATCCGCATTAAAGCCAACCTACCAATCGAGATTTAGCCATTTCTATCCAGTTAGGCGTGAAGACAGGAGTGAAATAAGACTACCTACTATCACCCATGATATTTCTGATTGTGGTGCACTGGATCATGCAAAAAACAGTGAGGAGCGAGAAGAGGGGGAAACGCTGGACCAGAGAAAAGAACCTAGAAGATCTGGAGTTCGCTAACCATGACTTGTGTCTAATGTCTGGTCACACAAACTCGAAGATCTACACGCAAAATCCAACACGTTGACAGAAGAGGTGAGGCAGGGAAGCGAAGATGGGACACCATTCCAGTGAATATAGAGGAGATACAGGTGATAAAAATAACCAACCAACACCACCACCGAAGACGACGACGACAACAACAACAAGCTGCAATCACCATGAATGGGAGAAACTTAAAGGAAGTAGCCTCTTCCACCCACCCATCTAGGCAAGGCAGCATCGTTTCAACTACAGGCAGCACACGTACAGACGAGAATGTCAAAGCCAGTCAGGATGGGAAAGATAGCAAGACAGGCGTTGATTAACCTGAAACCAATGTGGAGATCCTCTGCACTCAGTATAAAGTCTGAACAACATCCTGATTTTCAACACCGAGGTCAGTGAAGTCAGTGCTTCTGTGTGATGGTTGAGAGACTTGGTGCGTTACAAAGAGCACTCTGAACAAACTACAAACATTGATGAAGAAGTGCCTACTTTGACTCGTTACTGAAGATTAGATGAGCAGAGTAATAATAATAAGCAAGAAGGAACTGTGGCTGGCTGGGTTGCTGGCTGGGTGCTGGCTGGCTGGCTGGCTGGCTGGCTGGCTGGCTGGCTGGCTGGCTGGCTGGCTGGCTGGCTGGCTGGCTGGCTGGCTGGCTGGCTGGCTGGCTGGCTGGCTGGCTGGCTGGCTGGCTGGCTGGCTGGCTGCTGGCTGGCTGGCTGGCTGGCTGGCTGGCTGGCTGGCTGGCTGGCTGGCTGGCTGGCTGGCTGGCTGGCTGGCTGGCTGGCTGGCAATAAACTAACCAACCAAGAAGCATCACTCAACAAATGTGCAGTGGAAGGAAGTGGAGATGGATTGGGCATGCACTGAGAAGACCATTCGGGGACATCACGTGACAGGCCAGGCACTCGAGTGGAATCCAGAGGGGGAAGCGACGAGTTGGGTGTCCGAGGTGAGGGTTAGATGGAGGAGATGATGTGAGTAAGAAATGAAAGGTGGTAGGCGGTTTTTGAGCCAGGTTGAAAAGACTTCAGTGAAGATAGTTTAATGGAGACATGCAACTGAATCCCTATGTTCCACTAGGATCCCAAGGGACAAATAATAATAAGTTACATCGATTAAGGAGAAGAAACAGAGAATCAAGTTACTGAGTCTTTTTTACTCAAAGTAGCATTTATGTCAATGAACATGATGATGAATTATCATCTAGACTAATGACAATCAGTGATTATGTAAATTGTAATAGAGGGATGAATCTGTTTAAATTCTATTGTTGGACATATCTAGAGTACTTGGACAATATAAGGTGGTGTTAAGCAGAAGGCATAAAACTGTTACAACTTAAGTTTTTTCTAAATGGCTGTAGAGGAAATAAAGTCTGCAAAATATATCAACTGCCTTGATGTACAATGTTCGGGGAAGTTGGGTTAGGATGAAAAGGGTTCAAGGTGTCCAGAACAACATCTGTCACCAGTCGATGAAGTTCATGACTGTTGGTGTGAGTCATATGGGGAGATGTAGACTTCCTGGCTTGGATTCTCGAGACAAAAGGAGTCGGAGGTTGAGGATTCTAGCTGACATGGCTGGAAATCGGTGGTGTTAAGCAGAAGGCATAAAACTGTTACAATGGCACAGGTGTATTCACTCATTCAGATTTCACATAACTTTATCTACTTAGATATCACTTTCTTTCTACCTATCTGTTCTCTGTATACCACTGTGAAGTATGCAATTTGAGCTTGTTGGTTGGGTTGTGTTCTCTGAGCTGAATTGTTTAATCGTCAAACTTTCATCGTCTTTCTAGGCAGCGACATCATCAGCACTAACTTCAGTATGAAGTAAGCTGTCAATATCTCTCCGTCAGTGAGCAATTCAGTAGCTAGCCCTGACGAACTGGTTTGTGATTGGTTGTTTCCTTTGATTGTTGTGTCACTGACTGCATAGATTTTCCTGTTGGCTGTCCCTCTGTTTGACCTCTGACTTTCTGTCGTTTATCATCTTTCTGATTGGTTGATAGATTGGGTCAATGTCTATACATCTATTGACTACTGACTGACTGACTGACTGACTGACTGACTGACTGACTGACTGACTGACTGACTGACTGACTGACTGACTGACTGACTGACTAATCTGAATGGCAAGCTTGTAGGGATTCCCTGATATTCTTTGTGTTTTCTCAGTCCAAAATTTTTACATTGTCAAAATTTAATTCATGTCCATTAATTGATGTGGTTTACAAAACAACAAATTCCCTTCAAACACTGTTATGTAGACTAAAGGACACAATAACTAAAGAAGACAAAACGAATATCATTTACAAAGTCAACTGCAATAGCTGCAGTCAACACTGCATAGGACAAAGTGGTCGCTCTCTTCACCTTCATCTACATCAACACGAATTAGCTTATTAAACGTCGCACACGATATTTCAGCCACTCATTTCAGTGTACGTAGAAATTTTGGACTGAGAAAACACAAAGAATATCAGGGAATCCCTACAAGCTTGCCATTCAGACTAGTCAGTCAATAGTCAATAGATGTATATACATTGACCAGGAATCGACATACAGGAATTTCCTAATAAAGCATCAAGGCCATAACACACCTAGGGTTATTTGACAACAAGACCTTCAATAGACTGATATACTTGATCGGCACCCATTTCAGTATAAGATGCTACCATTAAACTTTATGAGCGATGAGGTTGAATATCATCTTTGGATCAAAAGATTGCTGATGTCGGACAAGTATAAGCATTCCTGTATCCCAATAACTACCTCAATAGACAAACCATAAGGTTCTCTAAGAACTAAGACACATTAGTAACAGGAAAGGTTGATCCTCATCAGTGGATTATCTAGCATTCAAGTCAGTGGTTTATGTGTAAATGATTCATTTCACGGGTAGCTGTTTTTGTAGATAAGTTAGTTTTTGGAAATGAACGTGATTTTTACTTACTGTTTATGGTATACCATGTAGATAAGGAGAGATAGAACCTAATATAGTTCTACTCTCCGTCGATATATTTCTTTTCCTGTGTATAGCCGCTCACACAATTCTATGTATTCATTATTCCATATACTAAGATATGGTAGCCTTATTGATGTATGTGTAAATTTCAGTGACAGTTGGCATTTTGCGAATGATTTGCACCTCTGATATGCTTAGCCGTAAACGAGTGAAACAGCCATCCTGTATATACATCAGTTTCATCTAGCTTCCAAATTAAATCTATAGATCAGCCTGAATGGTTTCCAACTAGTCAGATTGTTCAATTACAGTGCCTTTTGATAGTTGACTTACTTAGGTCAAAACGCTAATCATATGGAAGCATTTCAGAGTTTTCTTTTTGCAAACATCAACCTCTTACTAGTTTTAAATTCAGATTATTTGTTGGCATTTTTGTCGATCTATGAGATTTAGCTTTTATGCAACAAAATGATGATTCACCTGCCCCTACAACATCTTTTAAAGTTTAGATAATCAGATAGTTATATTAGCTGAAACGTAATAGGTGTAGCTTGTAGCCTAATGGGTAATACTTTATATAATGGCTGAGTTGCAAATATGTAGATACATAAGGATGAGAGAAAATCTTAGACCAGATATATCCTATCTAATTACATTGAATATAATCCCTCCTATCTAAACCTTTTTTAATTCAGGAGAGTTATGCGTATATGGCTAAAGGCTATCGAATTTCCTAAGTAATCACCTTTCTCGAGGTGTATTGAAAAAACTATCTTCCTGCAAGCTATAAAAAAGCTGATAAACCTGTGTACAAGACTATTTAGGGAAACCTAATCAGACTGGGCAAAAAACATTCCTTGATCACATATATTTTATTGTGGTCTGATGTTCATGGGGGACTTTATTCTTGAGGTTAACGCGTTCTCCGAGAAACCGGAAGGTCCTGAGTTCGTTTCCTAGCCGTGTTGTGGGTGAGTACCGCTGATGAGTCCCTTGCTAGGACTAACTGACTTTCCAGTATTCCCAGGTTTTCAATGGTTCCCCAAATGATGTCAGTCCATGTTGAATACTACCTCAAAAATTAAAATCCCTATTCACCTCAAGCTACAATACTGTATAGTGCTCATTTGTGACATGCTTCCAGATGGATATCAGGAAGTTCTAATGAGAAGCCGTGACCTGTGATGTCAGATCAGCCAGTCGTAAGGGAAGTGGATGACAATTAAAGATCTTAGGTGTTAGTCGCGCTATATAGCAGACTGACAGAATTTGGAAACTGTGAACCATTGAAACCTGACCCAGTGTCTGAGGAGTTAGTGAGCTCCCCATGAGACTTGATGGTCCTGAGTTCGATCCCTAGCCTGGTTATGGGTGCGTTCTACTAAGATAAAATAGCTGTCCGATGCTTACAGGTTTTCAATGATTCTCCGACTGTTATCAGTCAGAGTCTAGTTTGTTGTTCTGGAGTTGCTGTAGGTCGTTGCAGCTGTTATTGTCCTTTTCCT